CAAGTAAATAAATTTCGATCCCTTTGAGTGCTTGACTTCAGTTTTTTGGAATCCATATATTTCAAGGGACAATAAGTGAACAAAATGATAATTTTCGTGTACACGATTATTTTTGCAGCATTTTTGGACGAGTGCTTTGGTGTTCGTGGTGGTTGCTGTACACCAAACACAAACGACGATTTCGATATCGACGACTTCAAATATCAAGGAGATCCAATTAGATTTTCGTGTATAACAGCCCATTCGTACGTGTTTCCAAGTTTTTTGTTCTTACGTGTTTTTTACTTCTTTGCATTAATTCGGAAATACATATGGCTTCCACAGGCAAAGTGACTTTTATATGACTGACGTAAATGGAAGCATTCCAGCGGCTTTAGTTGAGCGACTTAACAATGGAAATGGCCTATCGTTGTTTTTTCACGGGGCTGCGAATGTTGTACATACGTCAAGCGGTAAATAGTTTTTTAATTTGGTAGCCCCCTGAAGTCTTTCAAATCCTTTCTATACGCTTTGGACGAGTTATATAGTTAATATATTTAATTTTCTTATTCATAGAATTGCTTTCTTCATTTGCCAATGGTAAGTTTTTCTTTCTGTTTCCATCTCTCCCTTTCTTTGTCTTTTTGTTTGCTTCTTAATAAACAACTGTGTCTCAATTCAAATCTACACACTCACTTTTGTGACAGTGGTACCCCGTTATAAAACCTTAATTTCGGTTTTTACTTTTCCGCACACACCTAGTGTGAAAGGGGAAAGTATTGCAATGGGTCAAAATTTACGAAACCTCAAAAACATGTTTTCTGGACGTTTCTGAGGTCAGAGGAACGACATGGTTGGTGTGGGTCTGTTCCACGTCGTACGTCGTACGTTGTCCGCCGTACGCAAAATTTGTCCATCGATTGTCCAAAAGTCATACTTAATGTAGACTTAAACACTCAAAAATATGTATTGGGGGGTTTTTTGGCACGAGAAAACCGAATCCGAGGTTAATTTTGAGATACAATCACTTTTTGATACAGTTTCCTTGAAAAAATCACCAAAAAATTGCATTTTTGTATGGGAGCCATGCCGTCACCTTAATGACGTGAAACTTTGCACAGACTATTTTTTACACAAAAAAATAACATTCTGAAAGTTTGATGAGATTCTAATCAAAATTAGGAGTACCGAATTCTTTCAAATGTCGTACAAATGGGTTCATCATGAAGTGTGAAAAATCTTTTCCGAGTACTTCTGCTATTAAATAAAAGAATATTTCGATGCCAAAGTTGAAACATATTTTTTGGTCTCGAACTTTACGCCGCTTGAAAGGCTTGAAAAATCGAACAAATATTATTTTGAAATAGCTTAATAGAATACGCATCTACCACCGTACGGAAAAGTTCGTCTTACTCCTATAAGACTCTTTATTTCAGAGTGGTTCAAGGCATCCGGAAACAATATTTGTATCGTCACCTATGCCTATACAACACGTTCATCGAGAGGTTTAAAAATGTATGCAATTGTAAATGAAATGGTAAAAACCCGGCGGCTTGAATACGTAGCGAAAATGGCAGGGGACTTGGTTGCCATACAATGTTTGAACGTTTCACAGGTTGATGTGAGTGGTTTTAGTTTTGGTGCGCATGTCGCTGGCCGAACTAGTCAATACTTGCTTCGAAAGACGGGCGAACGTGTTCGAATACTTTTGGGTATGTCACCTATGTATGTTCTTCACCTAGCTTTTCCCCAAAAAGGTGTCTTAACAAATGTCTCAATTTCAAATAGCATTGGATCCAATAAAACCTCCTCTCTTCGGTGCAAAAATAAGAGACTCCATAAAACGAGGTTATGCCAATTATGTGCAAGTAATTCACACCTCCAGAAAGCTAGGAATATGGGATCAAATGGGAGATGTAGATGTCTACGTGAAATATGAGGTTGTGAAAAATTTGGGCCCATTAAATGATGAGCATGGACTTGCATTCTTTATTCATCTTGCAACCGCCACAAAACGACTTTTTATAGCGGCAAATCTAAAAGGAGATGGAAATGGTAATGTGATGAAAAGCGATGATCTAATATTTGAAGATGAATGTGTAGTCGGTGTGTATGGTGGCCTGAAATCGGTTCATCGCGGAAAAAAACTTGTACTTTTGTTGGGTAAACGTGATCCAGTGTTTTGGGATCAAATTGGCATGTTTCGCGATGCTGAAATCTTTTTGGGGTCGCAAGAAGTTGAAAAAGAAGAAAAGATATCCGATCCAAATGGAGAAGAATGCGTATTATGCTTTGAAAATAAGAAAAATGTACTTTTAAAACCATGCAAACATAAGGAAATATGTAATTCGTGTTGGAACAAGTGGAAAATCGAACAATTTACATCAACACCCAAGTGTCCAATTTGCAGACGAGAAGTAACCAAGTCAGAAGTCAAAAAATAAACTGTTCGGTATAAGTTCTCTTATACTGAACGCCATTTTCACTTGTATAAAGTTTCGAATCTTTCGTAACTCAGTTACATCGCACCAAACAGAAAATTTACTGTCCAATTTTTCTTTGACTCAATAAATGTTGACCAACTAAAAACTGTGTTTTAATGAAAATTCTTACCCACCAATTTTGGACGAAGCTGTAGACAGTCATAAATTGCATTAAGATATGAAAATATCGCCGGGTTTGTAAGAAACTCGGATAGTTATTAAATAAAGTATATTTTTGGATCGATGTTAATTGCTGATTGCACAATAATTTCCGTCATACCTCTTACTTCTTACTGTATACAGTGACGTTGCTACGAAAGATGTATGGCGGGTTTCAAATCAAAGCCGGAATTTTTCTAGGGATTATTCCTCTGAGAAGAAGGAACAGTAAGGAGGAAAAGAGCGCTGAGGAGGGCGCTTTATCTCAGTATCCCTCTTTCTCTATTTCTAATTTTTCCATCTACTCTCTCATTCGTGTAAAATCGATCCTAAAACGACATTGCTGACATCTTCTATTCAGAAGCAGTAAAAAATTCAAACGAACTCATTTCATTTACGCGAAGCAATGCGAAGTATCACATCTGGCACAGAAGCGAATTGAAATTCAACAATTCCAAGGTAAAACGTTTTTAAATTAGAAATTATTGTTTGCGTAAAAAGCTGAGCTGCTTTAATTAGAACCAATGGAAGTGTTTAATGAATGAAGCATTTTATGCAAATCGAATTCCAATTAAAATTGTAATTTTCTCAATTTAACGGAACAAAGTAAATTACGCAATTAATGGAAACGTTTTAAACAAGACTGTATAAAAGGCAACGGAGCTCCAATCGAAAATTATAAGTTGCACGAATTTACAACGTTCGAGATGAAATTTACAATCTTAGAATTTTTGGTGGCTTCGTTGTTCATTCTCGCGGTCAAGTGAGTTTTACAATATATTTGCATATAAATATTTCTCTTCAACGAAGACATTTTTCTTAACTTTTACAGAGCCGAAGAATTAGCAACGAAAGAAGTTGAACAAAAACCAGCGACGGAACAACAACCAATGGCAGAACCACAAGCTAGCCTTGACTATGGCAAAGAAGAAGAAGCTGAAGCTAAGAGAAGCATGCTGTACTTGTTTCAACAGTGGGTGTTTCCAAAAACATATTATTATTACTTTTCCGCACACACCTAGTGTGAAAGGGGAAAGTATTGCAATAGGTCAAAATTTACGAAACCTCAAAAACATGTTTTCTGGAGGTTTCTGAGGTCAGAGAACCCGAATCAGGCCGTTTTGAGCATGGTTGTTGTGGGTCGCTTCCACGTCGTACGTCGTACGTCGTACGTCGTACGTCGTACGTCGTACGTTGTCCGCCGTACGCAAAATTTGTCCATCGATTTTCTCACCACCCAGAAAAGTTATTTGAAATCTGACTTCACGGGATGATTGGGGGTCCCCAGGAATAGAAATCATCAGATTTTGAGCGACTTTGGTTGATGGAAAAAAATTCCATGCCTGGAGTGATACCTATGAAAAAGAGTCCAATTTTCGTCCAAAAGTCATACTTAATGTAGACTTAAACACTCAAAAATATGTATTGGGGGGTTTTTTGGCACGAGAAAACCGAATCCGACGTTAGTTTTGAGATACAATCAATTTTTAATACAGTTTCCTTGAAAAAATCACAAAAAATTAGGATTTTTGTATGGGAGCCATGCCTGTATGCTACCTTAATGACGTGAAACTTTGCACAGACTATTTTTTACACAAAAGTATAACATTCTGAAAATTTGAAGAGATTTCAATTAAAATTAGGGGTACCTCCCATACAAAATTTTCAATTGGCTCAAAAACGAATATTTTGTATGGGAGGTACTCTTGATTTTGGTTGAAATTTCTCCAAACCCTCCGAATGTTATTTGTGAAAAAAATAACCTGTGCAAAGTTTCACGCCATTAAGGTAGCATACAGACATGGCTCCCATACAAAAATCCAAATTTTTTGTGACTTTAGTTATGAAAAGTGTTTCAAAAATAATCTTTATGGCAAAATTAACGTCAGACATATTTTTATAGTATTTTGTTAGAAAATAGAATACTTTCAAATGTCGTACAAATGGGTTCATCATGAAAGTGTGAAAAGTCTTTTCTCGGGTACTTCTGCTATTAAATTAAAGAATATTTCGTTGCCAAAGTTGAAAAATATTTTTTGGTCTCGAACTTTACGCCGCTTGAATGGCTTGAAAAATCGAACAAATATTATTTTGAACTTTCTTAATAAAATACGCAACTACCACCGTGCGGAAAAGTTCGTCTTACTCCCGTAAGACTCTTTATTTTTCTAACAGTTTTATCCAATTTTTCATATTTTAACAATGTCCTTCGTCAATTATTACAGAATGATAGATGTTGGTGCCACTTCTTATGATGCAAGCCGAGAGTAAGTTCTGAACTAAAGAAATGTTTTCTTCGATTTGTTGTTCAAAACTATTTTTGTATTCTTTCCAGATCCAAGGATGTGTTTGCTCTTCGTGATGAGTACGTAAAATGCCATTTAGTTGAACCTTTGCAAATATCTGTGAATTCGTACTGATTTATTTCATTTTTAGAGCCATTAACGTTTTGGATCAATTCATTAAAAACCCAAATGAAGAACAATTGGAAGCACAAAAACATAATCCAGCTCTGGTGGATGCAGCAAAATTGGCGTATGAAAAAATTTAATTTTTCACTGCTTTTTACCTTAAAAAATTCAAAATAACAAAATGCCACGTTTTTTCAAAATGATTTTTCTCCTTTTCCAGCTATGACGAACTTATGCTTGACAAAACAGCATCAGCCGATTCAAAAGCATGAAGTCTTAATTTTTTGGGATTTTATTAAATGACGCATTTAAAAAAATACAAATTCAATGTGAATTTAACTTTTTAAAATAAAAAGATCGATTAAATACTGAGAATAGTAAAATTGCTTTATTTTTATATAACATGAGACTATTATATACGATAAAAATCTAATGAAACGATTAGACCTCTAGCGGAATATGGATCTTTTTTCAAAAACGTATCATGATGAAATTGAACGATGAAATCGGAATCTATTTGAACCCTTGATTTCAATAACGTTCCGGTGGCACAATTTTCGGGCGGAGTTTGTTTCAATTGAATTTTATATATGAAACCCGCTTTGATCAGAATTGGATCGGGCAAAGACACCTGTGCAAAATGTACACTTCCTAAATTCGTATTTCCTTTGTACAAAACTGCTTCTTCATTGCTGGGTAAACTTGGCTCCAAATTTGACATTTCAACGATTGTTATTTCAGTTGGTACCAGTTCATTTAAACTGCAATATTTCTCCGATTTCCACTCAAATAAAATGTCACATTCGAATTTCTTTAGGAAAACCGTTTCACTGACAGAGAATTTGGTTGTTTCTAAGTCTTTGATCAAATACGCTGCACCTGAATTAAAATATGAATTCAGTCGGTTGCAACAAATCTTATTTCCTACAAATATTTCAACGTTACTGCGTTTCTCCCGTATTCCATTGAATAAGTTCGGTTGAAATTCCTTATTGCCTAGCATCTGAATGATTTCCGTTTGTTCATCAAATGAAAATGTGTTTCCATATAACGGAATGAGAGTGGCAAACTCGTTGATGGTCATCGATCCAAAACGAATTTTATAAAATAAATTACCAAGTTGAGATTGTACTAATACTGTGGTTAAGTTTTCTTCAGTGTATGCATTCTTCACCCATGACATGCACGCCTCAAATAGTTCAACTTCGGAGCACTTCAAACTTTTCATTTCCAACAGTTCGGTCAACGTGTTTTTATTGCATTGCAAAAATCCTGGACTTTTCAACAAATCTCGAGCATCCATACTGATCATTGCTTCGCAAAATTTCATAAGGATGAAATCCTTACGAAAAATGGCTAATTCATACCTCAAAATCACATTTTCACTGGTCATTGTTGCCATCAAGAACTTCCTGCATAAATTCACGCAGTCGGTGACATTGTATTTATTGCTGAGATTCATGATTGCATCTACATTTTCTATGGTCAAATTCAGCGTGCCGAAGTAGAAGAAATGAAGGAATTCTTTGAAATCCGCAACATCTGCATCGACGATTTTCACTTCATTTTTCTCCTTCCATGATTCATTGAACATTGTGTGAATAACGTCACTGTTTGCAGCCAAAATATTTTTATGGGCCGGAACTCGTTCAACTTCTTCATCGTTCACCATGAAAACAATACGAATATCAGAAAATTCTTGGCTAAGGTAGAACTTCTTTCCGAGTTCAGAAGATCCAACAGGACTTGCCACATTGGTCGTTGCTACTTTGGACATTGACATTTTTTTTATTGCTTTGGGGGTTTGATAAACTGATGTGTGGTTAATATAGATCCTGGAGAACGAGTGTTCTTTTATTGATTAATTGTATTCAGTTCTATGTATTTAAGAAGCACAGAAGAGAAAATGATACGTTACAAACTTACGATTTCAAATATTTCACTTCAAATCTATTTTTAAAAAAATTGTCAAAGTTTTAAAGTTTTTCTTTAATCATTTATAAAAAATGATGAAAATAGATGGAAATTAAAAAAAACTTCTTCAAAATATAGCTTGATGAAAAGCCGATAAACTTTATAGATAAAAAATTGTATGACAACTAACGCTAATGAACCAACAAAGATGTCTTCTATGCGTCTGTTTTTAATTATTTTAAGCGGTTTTGTTACCGGTTGAACCGTTAATGACAAATGACTAAACGAAATGTTAGTTGGCTTTCATTGAAAAGGAATTATGACGAATAGTTTTCATCAAGACAACGAGAGCGTCCTTTTGGCATTAGCATTCAGTTTGTTGACATTGCTTGTGGTTTAAATCGTATTTTTATCTAGAAAGTTTACTACCTTACCATGAATGGTAGTGGCACCAACGTAAAGACCTTAATTTTTTACAAGAAAATTAATTTTCTATTATTTCTAAAACGTTCCCATATAGAATGTGGACGTGGCTGGCGTTGATTTGACGTTCAGCTACGTTCAAAGTCTGTGTCTATACGTTCTGCACATACATACACTAACACGCAGAGGCGGTCGCAATGTGCTTGTGAGTGTATGCAGTAAACGATAAGACGTAACACAAAACCAGATGGAGATACTGACATGAAATTTCGCACAGATGTCGAAGACAGTGCTACCAAGCAAATAAAGAGAAATTCTGTGCGAAGTTTGAATGACAAATTCACCTTACTTTTTGGGCACAGTTGAACGTAGCTGAGCGTTGACAAAACGTCGATTACGTCCACGTTCCATATGGGTTGCAATTTTGTAAAAAAATTATCCTTGTATTTCATTTTACACATAGTTCCACTTAAAACATTTAACTTTTCCGCACACATAGTGTAAGGTGAAAAGTGTTGTAATCGGTCAAAATTTTGAAAACTTCAGAAACATGTTTTCTGGACGTTTCTGAGGTCAGAGAACCCGAATCAGGCCGTTTTGAGCATGCTTTTTGTTAATCTGTACGTCGTACGCAAAATTTGTTAGCAAGATTGCGCTCATCGTAGAAACTTAATTCAAAATCTGACTTTACAGGATGATTGGGGGTCGCAAGGAAAAGAAATCTTT